AAGTAAAAGTAAATGTCTAATTTTTTGGAAGAAGAAGTAAGAAAATTTTAACTAAAAGCAAATTTCTGATTTCTTGGAAGAAGTTAAAAAAATTAAGCAAGAGCGATGTGTAGGAAGTAGCAGTTTAAGAAAGCTTTAACTAAGAGCAAATTTTTGTTTTTTTTTAAGTAAAAGTAAAAGTTTAAAAGAAATTTTTAACTAAGAGCAAACTTCTGATTTGATGGAAATAGAAGTTTAAAAAAAAATTAATAAAACAAACGTTTAATAATAAATAATTAATCATAGTTTGGAATTTTCTGAAAGAAACAAAATTTTCAAATGATTTTCAAATTATAAAAGAGCAAGAGTGGGTATTCGACCTTTTTTCTTTCTGTTTTTTTTTTTGTTGACCATAAAAATAAGGTTCATATCGTAATAAATTAAAAAAATACCCATTTTGCTATGGGACAGCCTTGTGCGGTCTTGCCCTCCTTTCCGGTGTATTTGATTTTCTCGATCCGGATGGCTCGTCCTTTGACTCCGGTCCGAGTTTCCAAATCATGTCTCAGATTGATCAAGTTGTTGGCGCATCCTGAAACAACTCGCTTAATTTTCAGTTAGTTCCAATTCTAATACTAGTACCTAGATGCGTGTAGTAGGTTCCGGGCTCGGCTGCGCCTCGCCCCGCCTTGACGCAGTTGCAATAAGGAATTTCGTTTTCGTAGGGACTAGAATATCGCTTTTTTGGGAGTTGCTTTGGTTTGGTTGTGGTTAAATTGGCGCCACCACCACCGTTCACTCTGAAACGGTGATGGTGGCTATACCATAAAAAATGACCGGTGTTTTCGACTTTTTTCTCATCACTGTTCTCCTGCTGTTTGCTCAATATCATGGTTTTTATCCGAGTATTGAGATTGACTCGATCGGTGGCTTGCTCCTCGGGTTTAACTTCTTCTTGCCAGACGTTCTCCTGCCACATTTCCTGACTAGTTCCGCTGAATTGACCACTGCCTGGGTATCCACTAGAGCTGTGTGAAGCTAGCTGCGGGCTGCTGTTCACTTGTGGATACCCAGGCTGGGCGTTTCCCGAATTCGCGTAATTGGAGGGTGACGACACTGACGTGAAGTTGGTACTACTTTGACTGAAGTTTTGATTGCTTGCCGTGGAGTTCACCGAACTGGGCCGAGAGACGTTCTCGGGGTTTCCTGAAGGGGTCGTCGCCGGCGATACGAAATTTTGATTCTGGGGGTTGTACTCCTGGTACTGCCGGTTGGAGGGAGCCGGACTGGGAGTATGGGAGTAGTTCGAGTTGGGTCTTGGAGTAACTTGGGTTTGGTTTGGGGCACTTGGAGGCCGTGTGAGTACTTGGACCGCCCCGGTGTAGAACGTGTTGGTCTCGAAGGTGGGCTGTTGGTACGTCGCTTGGTAGATACCATTGGGGTACTGCTGGTAGGTCTCCAGTGGTTGGGTACCCGCAGGGATCTGCTGGATGAACTGCCCCTGGGTCCAGGCTGCACAATTCAAATTTAGTACCGTAGTGGTTGTGTGGTGGTTAAAAGGGGTACCTTGCGTGGGGTCGGTTTGCCAGACCGGCGCGGGGAACCTGTTGGGGTCCGCGTAGAAAGGCATCGGCGTCTGCGAAAAAATAAGACACGTGAATATCGGAAGCAACAAGTTGGGTCGTTTTTGTGTAAATGTTGTCGAGACGGGAGTATTGAGGCGTATATTTGGTTGTCTATCCCGGAGGGGTAGATGTCTGCATCTTGCGCCCCAATAAAGAGGGAATTTTGTGTAATCCACCCGAGGATCAGATATACCGCCCCCGCCGTTGAGGCAGGTCACGCTTCACCCTTAAATCAATTCCCTTTCTCGACGGAATTTTTACACTCACCATTGGAGACTGTTGTTGGACGGGAATGGCTTGTTGTACGGTGGCTGTCGGGGGTTGAGGACTAGGTCTCGTCGCTTGTTGTTGATTGGAGATTATCGTTACGTTCCCGTTGGACTCCTGAGGGACGCCACTGGGAGGCCCTGAAGGTACCGATGCTATGGGCCCGCTGGGCTTCCTTCCGCGGTAGCTCTGAGGAAAACGCAAAAATCACAGATTTGGACGACTGATCTGCAGGTAGTTGCAAACTAGACTACCTGAAGAACCTTTTTTCATTGTTTACCAACAAAAAACCGTTCAGTTCCGAGGCTGGAAACCGGAGTTGGCGTTGTTTACCGATTTTTAACGAATTGAATCATTATTTTGGCGGGATTTTCCGTTAGCAGTTGCGTGACCAATAAAAAGGGCGATTACCTGGGCGGAAAACCCTTAGGATAAGTTCATGATTTGTTGACTAGATGATGACATAAATTGACGTGGAAAATAAGGGTTTATCGGTTTGGACTGCGAGGTTAAAGGATACAAAATCGACGTGAAAAATTAATGAGGTTTGGGTTTCACCGCTGGAGATATTTCTAATAAAATAAAAAGATCTTAGAATTGAATTACGCTGTGCTAATTAAACGAACGCAAGTAGAGTAATTCTATTCATTCATTATTTATTCCTATTATTATAAATTATTTATTTTTACAGCTGCAAAAACGGTCGTTTTATACGCCTGAAAAACAGTGTTTTCTAAATTCCATTAAAGAACTTAAAAATTATAAAGTTAAAATCAAAGATTTGAATTTATTATTTTACATTTATTATTTTTTATTCACTCTAGTATCTGTCTCAAATTGTTGAAAGACACTGGAGGTTAAATGTATCATCATTTGCTAGGCAACAGTAATTTAAAGCATGAAAAATTCTCGCAATTTATTTGCTGTTTGCCTAGCAACAGAACTTTAATATACGGGGTGTAACGTTGAAGAATACTGTCTTTATTATTGAAAAAAATACAAATGCATTTTTTTCCTTATCAAACTAAAAATTAATTACATTGAAATATGTAAATGGTTCCATTAGGCCAGGTCCGTACTATTTTTTTTCAAATGACGAAGAATATACAGGCTGCGCCACAATTGGCGTTCCAGAGAAAATTTTCAAGTAAGATAAGATACCAGAAACATGGAAAAAATGTTTAAATTAAAAAAATTTATCTGTCAAAAGATTTTGACATTTGACATTTTTTTATGTCTATTTAATGATACTGTTGATCTTGTACATGTTTTTTTTTACAATTATATAGTAGAAGTACAAAAATTTTGCCAATAAAAGCCATAAATAACATTGAACAAAGTTACAATTTAACATATAGCTTTCTTGTTTCCTCTTCTAATAGCCTGTAGCAAAAAAAACTTGGAAAATTATTTTTCCAAGCTACATAAATAGAAATTATTATAGATAATTTTTTTTTTAATTTTTCCCATGTTCCTGGTACCTTACCTTATATGGATTTTTCTCTGGGGCTCGAGTTCTGGCACACTATGTATACAGGTGTCGCCGAATAGGTGAAACGACTCTTGTAAACAATAAAAAATTCTTGATCTAAATTTTCATTTCTTTAGGGTTTATCCCTGCTTGGGTTAAGGACTAATTTTTAACATAATTTTAGTTTTGAAAACTCAAGTATGCTTTGGAAATTTTCAAAAAACTTATTTTTTTTAAAGTCCCTTTTATGTGGCAAATACGACAAAAAGTACCAAATAAAGTTGTCTAAAATCTAAGCTCCTATACCAAAATTTCAAAATCATCGACCATCAATGATTTTTAATTTTTTGAAAATTTAAATCGCGAACTTTTTTCTTTTACAACAGTCTTTTTACCTATCCAGAGACACCTGTATATTACATTTTTTAAATCGTCGTTCTAGATTTTAGTTGCGACGTTGTCAAGTTATTAATTTTTTTTGCAATTTTATGAAAAACATGTTTTGACTGAAATTCTTCTAGCATCTTTATTATTAACAATAGAAAAGTAAAATTTGTCACAATAATAAAAAGGGCTTTACTCTATGGTTCGATGACAATTTTGTGCACTTTTGTTACACAGGGTGACACCTAAAAGTGATAAATTTCTGCGTTATTTTTTTTATGGGTATTGGCTTTGTTTTAAAATCTCGTACTTGTATTTTCGTGTGAAATCTCGTTTTTTGAAAAAATCTCAAATAAATGGTGATTTATTTCCGCTTCCCTGGCCATGAATCATGAAAGTACATAAGCCGTGATAATGTCTGTCGAAAAATTGTTATTGGAAATCGTCTGCAATAAAGAGTTTGATGGTGATAATAAATAAAAAGTGGTTGTTTCGTTGATAATTTTAGTTTTTGTTGGATGTGAGTTATGAATGGGTCTATTTTGGGAGTGTCTTAGGTCCGAGTGGGATTTGGCGAAAGCCCGAAAGGCGGCTGCAGCCCCTGTCGGTACATTTAGGCCGTATTTATCGTCATTTCGTTGTATGATGTTCGTCGCGAGTATTGATTAATGCAGGGCGCATGCTCGATGCTTGAACACATTTTCTACAAAATTTACAATTACCGCCGTGTACAGCTCATCACAAAATAATTCTCTCGTAGAGCTTTGATAAGGTTTTTAATAAGCCTCGGGCAGTGAAAAATCCGATTAAAAACAAATTGCTCAGTACCGAATCGTGTACCAATGCATAAAATTACAATATGCCCTCGCTCAAATTATTTCGCGCCTCCAATTAGCTTTTTTAATTGGTTTTTGCGCCCCAACTAAAATAAAATAAATCAACATCAATAATTTGAGTGAGTCATGTGATCCAAGGGCTCTATTTTGCAACCTACCCCAGCACCTCGTCCCTTTCCCCGGCCGCGTCTTGACTCTCCACGAAGGTAACTCGCATCTCCGTACAGATTCTAAAACAAAATACAAAACGAAAAATAAATCAAAAAACAAAATCATAAAAAAAATAAAACGGGATGGGGGCACCCCCCAAAGGCCCAAAAAGCGATTGCGCATTGTTCATTGATCTAAAGACTGGACATTGACGTCCCGATCGATGCGATGCAACACTAATCAAATATTAAAGTCTTCCTCCCATCTCAAATTTTTAATTATTATTCGGAGCTTTCAAGCGAGAATTTCATCTCGAAGCTTTCGCAAAGTTTACATAGACTGCGGCGGCGAAATGAGAACTTTCATCGATTTTAACTTTTTCGAAAAGATGGACACTGCTTTTTGTTCAATTTCACAGACAAAAACGCCCTTTCACTTTATCATTCCTGATTTTATTATAAACTCAAAGTTTGGTAGATTTGGGGGAAAATAGCTGGAAAATTGTATGCTTGATTTAACCGACCCTTGCAATGTTTGATTCTCTGGGGACTTATTGGCTACGGTGACTGCTCAGGCTTGCTCAACACAAAAAATGATTTTTTTTTGCTCTAGATTGAGTCCCAAATTGCTGCACCGTTACTCAGCAACCGATTTGGACATCCACTGCGGTGGCGTAACAATAGGCCAATTGCCATTTCGACACTCTCAGGGCTGTCCATGTTACAATTGGGTGTTTTAATTAAGTTCAAAAAATGAATAAGCGACTTCCGAAGTTGTTAAACGGAAATGTCGGAAAAGTGAAAGTAGTGCTTCATTTCTCGAATTTGTGCAACGGAAAACCGTAACGGCCTCGTAGTTTATTGTCGTCCGTGCTGAGTGAACAAAAATGGCGTCGCCTCCCCTTAATTAAACCCCGAAGTTTCTCGTCTCGCCGTGTATAATTTATTAGATCCGAAATTTGGTAAAAAATAGGAACTATAAAAACGAATACCATATTGGGTGCAAGAGTAGAGAACGAGAACAACCGTCTGTCTGCTTGTATATCCGGTAGCAATAACCAGGTGCGCTTATTTCCAGGGCTGTCCAAAAACCACCACAACGCCATCGCCGTAAAACCAACAAACGGTGGAAAATCCGACCGTTCGTCCGTCTCACGGAAACAATCGACGTTCGATGGGTGCATTCGTGCGAGAAGTCCATTGAAAAAATCGAAAATTTACGGTTTTTAGCCAGGCGACTTGATGGAGCGTTTTGGACAGCCTTGACGAAAAACACGTGGTCTATGTATCGCTGACAGCTGGCCCAAACTCCACCCACCATGGATCTTGCCGTTATAGCAATTCACCATGCCGTCGGGGCGACATTTTTACATTATTAAAAACTACATTTGCATAATTGGAGTGATTATTTATCGCCGATTTTCGGTTATTGCTCATTTCAAACGTGGGATTTCACTTCCCGCCCAAATTGGACACGCGGGATTGGCGCGTTTGCGACGACAGCAGTTTTTTAAATATGAATACCCCATTTCCAAGCCTGATGGCATATTTCACAAAATAATATTTCAGCTTTATTAACCTTAAATTTGCGTAAATAATTCGGCAAAAATTTCTTGCTACGCCACTGATTGTTGTCATTTTTACTATTATTTTAGAAACTGAACCGTTGCTAGGCAATATAAAATAAAAACCGCCATATCGTTATTATTTTCTTTCAATTGCCATAGTAACTGAATCGTTGCTAGGTAATAATACCTACATACAATTTTTGGTAGAAATTAATCTTGGTGGGCGCGGGGTGTTGGCAATTGTTTTAAAAAGTGGTCGCGTGTCCAACACGTGGTCGTTTCTAAGAATACGTCGTCGTATTGTGCGTCAAGGTCTATTCTGCTAACCCAAATAAAGTCGACCTTCGGTGGCCCGTCTGGAGCGAGCGACCCTTCATCGCGTGAATCCTTTCGGGTAAACAGGGCGAGATTTCCCGGAACAAACCACCGCAAAGTCATATCCCCGAGCGGCCATCCGAGCGACCGTCTGCTTCACGTCTAGCCGCCCCTAACGACCCAACGGACTGACCGCCGCCCCCGCTCATGACGGACCTTTACCTCAGACAACTCGCTCACACACACCCACCCTTTCGCACAACAACACTTAATACATCACTGTCAATCTTTTTGCGAGCACGCGCCACCAAAACCTTCCTTCATGCTGAATGACCGGAAACACCGGGGACATTTTACAAAATCTTACGAGGATTATTATTTACAATTTGGTGCAGCGGAAATGATGCACATTTTAGGGCTTTGAGCCAAAAAAATCTTGATTTTATAACATCTATGTTCTTATAAAGTACTGTTCCAAAAAAAGTATGGAAAGTTGCGATTAACATTTTTTCATTTCTCTAAAATTTTCCTAAAAATTCAAAAAGTAGTTTCAACTTTTTTCACTTTTCTCAAATTTTTTTAACAGGGTAAGTCCGAGAGAGATGGAACACATTTAAAAAACCACTGTAAAATTATAAACTTTATTTCTATTCAAACAAATACATACCAAGTATGGAACCAAACATTTTTTCCTTTTAAACTATTTATTTTTTGAAAAAACTAATTGGTGAGTGATAAAGTACTATAAAAATGTGATAATTTAACAAGAATAAAATTTTCCGAAATTTCCTTTTGTTTTTGAGTTCTACAAAAAAAATATTTTTTTAAATGGCAACCCACTATAAAATAATTTTTCTCATAAAAGCTATACTCTAAGGATTACATCTATCCGCTTTATATTTAATTTTTTCAAAAAAATTTTTACACATAAATTGCAAATTTTGACAAAAAAAATCGATAACTCAAAAACAAAACAAAATTTCGTTCTGAAAATACCATCACATTTTTTATATTACTTTAATTTATATTAATTATTATTTGCTGGAGGCAAATGATTAAAAATAAAACCGCTTGGTTCCACACTTTATATTCACTCTGTACATAATTAGGTATGGATTTTGATGTGCCAAAGTCCACCTTTCCCAGCTTTACCCTGTCTATTCCAAATTACTGTACATTTAAAATCATTATGTTAAATAAGAAGAAAAAAAAGATTCACTCAATGTCAAAGTAAAAATAAGGTAAACGCAATATTCACTATTCAGTGTTGCCAATTCAAGTCATAGGCCACTTTGATCACATACTTAATTCAAGCATAGTATTTGCTGTTCCGTTTCTATAGCAACATTTAAAAATTCACTCTGATGCGTGTTTAGTTGCTAAGAAACAATTAGTTAATTGTCAAAACAGAAATGAAACTCATAAATGAACATCTTACAAATTGTGACTGAAGAAATTGAATCAAAATTAGAACAAAAAACTAAGAATGAAAAGGTTCAGAAAGTCAACATAACTAATTAATAAGAAAATTAATAAAAAAATAATTTACAGTTGTGAAAAAAATGAGATATAACAAAAAGAAAATGGGAAATTTGTATTGAAAAGTGGGTGTAAATAATAATCAAACAAGAAAAATGTGAGAACAATAGTACATTATAAGCGAGGTGGTAAATATGGCTTTACCCCGAGAGCCTCGAGATCGGATAAAGCACAAGGGCTAATGCCATTACCACCGAGGTTTGTATGCTATTTTATTCACAATCGCATTATTTTCAGTCAAAAATTTGAGTAAAATAAAATTCTAACAAAGTTAAGGTCCAAACGTGGTAGGCCATCCAAATGGCGTTTGACTTTTGACATATCAGAAATGTCAAAGAAAATACAGTGCGATCAAAAAGTCTGTCTATCAAGCAAGCGTAGAAATTTAAAACGTATGTCTGTGGAAGATAAAATGCCACAATGACAAATGAGAAATGTCAAAATAATTTTTATGTAAATTATAACAGGAAACCGTGGTGAACGATTTTTATGAATAAACACCAACAAAATCTCATTTTAGGATATTTTGAGACGTTTCATAGAATAATTCAATTTAATTAGCTTTAATTTTTATAAAATAATTTTTTGACATCTAGATAGTATACGAACTGCCATGCAACATACGTCCTCAACTAGGACGCCTACTTGATAGAAAGACTTTTTGATCGCACTGTATTGAAATAATGTGTGAATCTGATTTAAAATCGTCGAAATGGGGCAGTGTATTCCCCCAGAAGTAAGAGAAACTGCTACAAAAGCAATTGAATACTAATTTAGCAAAATATTATGCGTAACTTGACAATTTGAAAGAAAAAATTCCCGGTATTTTTGTAATTTTAAGGTTGGCTATCCTGCATATTACCGCCCAAGAGAAGCAATATTACTCCTCATGAGATTTAATGATATGATTCACAATCTTTAAAAGGTTAGTAATCGGCATATTACATTAGTGATTGTGAATAAAAAAATAAAATTTTGAAATAAGTCCTAAGAGAAACATGACAATGAAATAACTAATGGGTAAAAATTCTGATTTTTAAACAAACTGAAGAAGCAGAAACAAACTGAAGACCAGAAAAAAAGAATCTCAAAAAAAGTTAATTCAGACAAAAAATTAGACCAAAGAAAATGAAAAACGTTGACAGGTTAAAAAAATAATAGGAAAACAAGTCGAAAATGTGAAAATTATGGAGCGAAGAAAGAGAGACAAAAAATAAAATCCAATAACAAAAATAATACATTATTTACGTCTTAGTTTTCGCCTCGTTTTTATTTTGTTTTTTCATTTTACAAAATATTCACTTTGTTTTCGTAATTTTTAATTTGAATTTTATTAGGAGATGTGCCACAGTCCGTTGAACACGCATGGAGATAAAATCGCCAAAATTTGTATAATATTTAAACCGGTTGTGTGTAGTTTGTTTACCATCGATTTTGGTGGAGTTTTAGTGCAAAAAAAATGGAAAGAGTAGTTTGAATCGTTTAATACTCCACTTAATCTAAATCAGTCGCAGCTGTCGTGTCAAAATCCAACCGGTCCTTGTTTGTATTCCCGTCGGCCATTTTGCGTGCACAGCACCCTCATCCCTGCAAGAGCGACCCGCAATGGCATCCTCTCTAAAAATACCACCAAATTGATTCGCAGCGCAATTTTTATAT